CCGCACATGAAGTCATGAAAGTCATATGTTAAACACGCCCCCTCATTTGGCGATTTCGGTTCGAGACATTAAACACGTCCCCTCCTTTAGCGATTCCAGTTCAACAGTTTTCAACACAGATATTAAATACACCCCCTCTTTTAGCGATTGCGGTTCAACATAAATCTTAAACACGCCCCCTCATTCGGCGATTCCGGTTCAACATATATCTTAAACACGCCCCCTGACTTGGCGATTTCGGTTCGAGACATTAAACACGCCCCCGCCTTTGGCGATTCCTGTTCAACACGGATATTAAATTCACCCCCTCCTTTGGCGATTTTCGGTTCAACATAAATATTGAACACGCGCCCTCATTTGGCGATTCCGGTTCAACATATATCTTAAACACGGCCCCTCATTTGGCGCTTTTCAGTTCGAGACATTCAACACGCCACCTGCTTTGGCGATTCCGGTTCAACACAGATATTAAATACAACTCCTCCTTTGGCGATTTCGGTTCAACATAAGTCTTAAACATGTCCTTTCATTTGGCGATTCCGGTTAACATAAATCTTCAACAAGCCCCCTCCTTTGGCGATTCCGGTTCAACATATATGTTAAACACGCCCCCTCATTTGGCGATTTCGGTTCGAGACATTAAACATGCCCCCTCCTTTGGCGATTCCAGTTCAACACAGATATTAAATACACCCCCTCCTTTGGCGATTGCGGTTCAACATAAATCATAAGCACGCGACCCCTCATTCGGCGATTCCGGTTCAACATATATCTTAAACACGCCCTCTCATTTGGCGATTCCGGTTCAACACATATCTTAAACACGCCCCCTCATTTGGCGATTTCGGTTCGGGACATTAAACACGCCCACTTCTTTGGCGATTCCGGTTCAACACAGATATTAAAAATACCCCCTCCTTTAGCGACTTCGGTTCAACAGAAATTTGAAAGACACGCCCTCCTTTGGTGATTCCGTGAACAACCTCTTCATTTAGCGTTTCCGGTTATATATTTTTACTTAACACGCCCCCTCATTTGGCGATTTCGGTTCGAGACAGTAAACACGCCCCCTCCTTTGGCGATTCCGGTTCAACAAAGATCTTTTTGAATACACCCCCTCCTTTGGCGATTTCGGTTCAACATAAATCTTAAAGACGCCCCATGACGCCCCCTCATTTGGCGATTCCGGTTCAACATATATCTTAAACACGCCCCCCTCATTTGGCGATTTCGGTTTGAGACATTAAACACGCCCCCTCCGTTGGCGATTCCGGTTCAACACAGATATTAAATACACCCCCTCCTTTGGCGATTTCGCTTCAACATAAATCTTAAACACGCCCCCTCATTTGGCGATTTCGGTTCGAGACATTAAACACGCCCCCTCCGTTGGCGATTCCGGTTCAAGACAGATATTAAATACACCCCCTCATGTGGCGATTCCGGTTCAACAAAAATCTTAAACACGCCCCCTCATTTGGCGATTCCGGTTATATGTTAAACACGCCCCCTCAGTTGGCGATTGGGTCGAGACATTAAACAGGCCCCCTCATGTGCCGCGTCCCGCCTGCGTCCCGCATGTCCCGCGTCCTGTGTCCCGCGTCCCGCGTCCCGCGCCCCCGCGGCCGCGTCCTGCGTCCCGCCTCCCGCGCCCCGCAGCCCACGCCCCGCGCCCCGCGTCCCGCATCCCGCGTCCCGCGTCCCGCGACCCGCTTCCCGCGTCCCGCGCGCCTCCGCGGCAAAAAAAACCCTATACCCAGTATCTCCCTTATGGAACGAATTTATTTCGTAAGTTATCCGATTATCCCATCGGGTTCTAGAGGTCCAATCCTAACTATAGAGAGAGGAGGGGGCGTTCAGTTGATCAAAGAATAAAATTTAGAGACTCACTTCTTATTGCTAATTTAAGGATTGTATATCAAATATCTCCAATTAGAAGAACTAATAATGAATCCGTACCAATATTAATATTTCTGCTAAAGCTGGAAGCCGGACCATCTGCAGGACCATTGATGAGTCCACTTGGGCAGACACATCTAAAAGATCAATGTTGCCGTGAAAAAGCAGCCTTTGCTTGAATCTCAGGAGCAACCCGTTTTCGTTATGTAATAGCTGCTTCAGTCCCCTCACGATTCTTGCCAGCTCCTTGTCTGACGTCGCGCATATTTGCAGCATCGGTCTGGATGCTTCGCCAGCTCGCGTGGCCACCCCAGAAGGAACAATGGATAAAGAGGCACCTTTTACATTTGCAGCTTTCCACCTGTGCAGCATCGGGCCTTCACCGCTCAACCTCTCGTTGCTCCAAGGCAGCACGCTGCGGACGCTGCTTCGGTTCACCTCAGGGCGCCGGCAACCGGAGCCGGAGGACGGAGAGGCTTTGCTGCGAAAGCCGAAGCGCAGAACCAGGACGCTGAAGCCGCTGAGCAGGCTCCCCAGGCCCACAAGCTTCACACACCTGAGTCTGAGCGATCAACCGCAATAGACGGCAGTCCATCGCAGCCCTGCAATGACACGTGCTGAAACTGTAGGCAAGCTGCTGGACTTCGCAAGAAGTGCCAGAAGCCCGCACTAGCGAATCGTCACCCTGCAGCTTCGTTGGAAATAATTCGAAGACTATGCCGCTATGCCAACATCAAGACTGTCAGGAAGAAATTGAGAAATGGCCGAGAGGCCCTGCTTCTCGCGGTCGGAGCCAGACTCCCACGTCGCCGCGTGTGGGGCTCACGGGCATATCTGTGGCTTCCATGCCTGTTCATCTGAGCAGCGCCTCCTAGGCGAAAAGCCGAGCTGAGCTGTGCAGTCGAAGTGAGGGAGCATATCGCGGAACAGCACTCCTTCAAAGGACACCACAAGAATTCAGACACAATCAGCAGAGTAGCTACAGTACTGCTACAGGGGCACGCTGTCTCATCCCCTCAACATAGGGACTCCAGGAACTAGACATTCTGTGAGTTCACGATGTCTTGCAGAGAATGTGCGGACTGTCGGGGCTTAGGGACTCTTGAACTTGGCATTGCTCTGGGATGGGTCTCCATGGGTGCCCGAAATGTCATCCCCACGATCAGCTTGCTCGATCCTCCGACTGGCCGCGACCGTCACTGCACGGTGAAGTATCTCATGCTGGTATGAAGCCCAACCTTTGCCATAAATTCTAGACTCTAGACCCTACGGCAGCAAACCCATCGCAGCAGCCTGCAATGTCCTCTCTGAGCTTAGCGAAGTGGATGAGCAAGTGTGCCGCATCTGCACTCGCAAACCAGGCCACCCAATGCCCAGGCCCTCCTCTAGATGCATCCGATTAAAGCATGCGGCAAGCTTCCTGCTCATGTCTTGATATGCAAGGCAGGACATGGAACGGGAAAATGCGAGGATCAACCCATCGCAGCATCCAAAGCCGCAGGTTACAAACTGCTACTGGAAGCTGCGCTTTGGAAGCTCAAGCTCGTTCTACCTGATTCTACCCGCTGCGCCGCAGGACTCCCGCATTCTCCTACAAAGCCCGCATGCTCCCACAGCCTCCCAGGAAACAATGTCGTTTCACGATTTTTTCTGTCGGCCTCGCGTCACTCGAGGCAAGGAGCCTGAAACGCTTTCCCCTGAACCGTCTGAGATCTCAAAGGCTTCACCTTTGCCCCGGCTTTGCTCAGAGGGGTAGCAGGGGTAGCACCAGTCCAAAGGACTGGCCTTCTGTCACCCGGGTCAAAGTCACTTGCTGGACTCGAATGGGAATGGGTGACGGATGTGACGGCGAGCCGTGAAGGCATGGCAGAGAGCGCTGCGATGGGCATATTATGCCGAATCCAAAGCACCGGACGAGACGGCGGACATGGGAGGGCATAGGTAGGCCCTTGCACAGGGAACCAGTCTTCTCGTTCGATGCCATTCGCAAATGCGCCGCTTCGCCAACAAAACTTGCAAGTTGCAGCAGTCTTGAAAGTGGCACTGATGCCTTTGCAAGACGGTGCTAGAAAGGAAACTGAAAAGGGGAGCCGCAGCTCTTTTCTGCCGGCTGCTTGGGTACCTACTGCACAGCCGCCACGGGAGTCATGCGGCGGGTCCTGCGAAGCCTGGCCCACAGCGCGCAGCTGGCGAGAATTGCGACGATGCCCACGGCAGTCACGCATCGGCTCCCTTGCAGAGCATTCCTCAGCCAGCCCTCGAGCTCACGAGACATATCCGCACACCACCCTTCTTCGAGCAAACAAGACCCGCCATGCCACAGCAACATTTTGAAGCGCATCCGAGCAGCACTGCTGGCAGCGCCATCGACTTCAGGGCAGCCGTGAGGACGACAACACGCCTCACACCGCTGCACTCTGAACTGTCCGCAACCGCTTCACCGCATCTTTGCAAGGTGCCGTCGAGCAGCGTGGTGGGCTCCAGGCTCACGGTCCCGTGCACTGGATTTGGGCGTTCAGCCGTGGCCGCCCCTCCAACATGCCTTTGCACCCGAGATGCGAGGCTTGCACTGCACTGCAAACGAAGGATGTAAGAGAGACGTTGGCAAAGGGCTGGGGGGCTGCAGGGCATTTGGGGGCTGCAGCGACTGTGAGGGCACCTGGCAGCGGCAGCGAGGCTGTCGTCGTCCCTGCCTCGCCCCGCCTCGGTGGACATTTCGGTGGCATCATTTCAGTGGCAACATTTCGGTGGCAACATTCTGTTTCGTCGCGTCGTCGTCCCGCCGTGTCGTCGCCGCGTCGTCGTCGCCGCGTCGTCGCCGCGTCATCGTCGTCGTCGTCGTCGTCGTCGTCGTCGCGTCGTGTCGTCGCCGCGTCGTTATCCGTCCCCGCCTCTATCCTCACCGGAATCCACACCGTCGTCGTCGCCGT